TTAATTAATTATTTTTTAAAAGAGTAGCTAACAGGCAAGTATTTGGCTTCGTGGTAAAAATGTAATCACATATTAGAGTGCCTGGGTTTCATTTCCATCTCTATTCGCAATTCCAGCTTCCTATTGATGCAGATTCGATGAAGCAGCAGTAATGACTCAAGTAGCTAGGTCTCTGCTACCCATATGGGAGACCTAGATTGAATTCTCAGCTCCTGGCTATGGTCCTGATCCAGCCATGGCAATCATAGTATTTAGGGTGTGAATCAGCAGATAAGAGCTGTCAGTTTCTCTCTTCCTCTCGCTATTTCCCAAAGTAAATAATCCCCCCCCAAAAAAATAGAGCAAAAGAGGGTACTTTTCAGTGTATGAAAATTTTGTGTAGACTAATATTGGATTAATATGATTATGTAAATTAAATCAAACACCAGTCAACTTCGGACTTGATATCAGATTTTCTTACTTAGAAACCTATTGTATGGCACATAAGTGCCAAACCAACAAAAAAAAATAGCACAGAGAATAGGACCATTCTTTTCCATGCTCCTCTGTTATTCTGGGCAGCTGAGAGGCAGGCCATCTGTTACAAGCTGAAGGCACACCTCAGCATCTTCCCACATGCACACTTAGGAATCACCCTGAAGTTGTTGAAGGACAATGAAAGCGACCCTGGCAACACTGAAGCAGGTGTGTGGTCAGCCTGGCCTAAAAGACAGAACTAGGTCAGGACAATAAGTCAGCCCAGCACAAGAGCCAGAAAATCCATGAAATTGGTGCCAGACTAAATGGTGATTTTTTTTAATTGCAAAAAAATTATTTTTTGAACTCTGAATCATTTATCATTTAACAAATGCTCACAAGTCACCAGGCATTGCTGCATGCATTTTTGTTGCATTAATTTTATGTACTTTGCATGTGTAATTTGTATGTGTTTTGTACGCATTAATTTTTTAAGCCTAACAAATCTGTGAAATATCTGTGAAATGCATTCTATGCATCATCTCCTGTCATAACAGACGAAATTGCCCAAAGTCATTCAGGTGATAAGTGGCAGATCTGGGATTCAAACTCAGGCTGCCCAGCTCTGGCTCTTAATCACAGCATTTTGTACAATTGCCCTAGTCTCTATATTACTAACAACAAAAATGGCTGTAAATAATATCGTGAAATATGATCAACAAGGAAGATACAATGATCATCTTCATTTTACCCGTGAAGAAAGTACGCCAGATCACATAGGCACTGAATGGAAAGCCTGAATTTGGTGCTAGGAAGTCAGAAGTCGGGAAGTTCATCGCCACTGCAGTGCCTTCAAGTCCAGCTACTTGCCTTTGTGCTAGGACAGCCATTCCTGCTTTGAGCATGCCGTTTGTTCCTTCATGGCTCTCGCCCCCACACCTTTAGAGCCATTCCAGGTTTTACTTTTCTTGAATAAGGGCACAACTCACCATGTTCTTCATCTTAACCAGAAACTCATAAAGTAGAACTGTGCCCTTATTCCTTCCAGATCTTCTTCCTGTTTTTCAACTCACTGTTATTTTTCAACCTCTTCCTATGCGCCAGGCTCTCTGCTGCATCTTTTACTCTCATTATTCCCACTAATCCCCACCAAGGAGCCTGTAGGTTGGTTTTTAAATTATGCCAACAGTACAAATGAGGAAATGGAGGCTCAGAAATGTTTAAACCTCCCCTAAAGTCACACAGCTAATGCTGCCAAGAACTCCCATTCCATAGCCCAGGGGGTTAGATTCCAAAGTCTGCACTCTCGACCATAATACTAACTGTCTCCACCTCATAAAGAGATCTGAGTAAACTGGCATGTGACTGGCAACCATAAGAGAAAAAGAACACTCGGAAGCAGTCGCCAGATTCCGAGGCCAGAACGCTCTGCAAAGCAGTGGCCCTTCCCTCCCTTTCCTCAGGTGCTGTTCTCAGGGAAGACTTGGGATGGCTGGAACGCAGCCTCAGAGCGTCCTGCCAAGGCTGCTGATGTTTTGTTAAGTTGTGATCCAGAGCCACATGGCTTCCAGTTCAGAACTGCTTGTCACCTTATCCAGATGTGTTTGGGTAGTAAGGAAATGGCTGATAGTAACCTGTCCTCAGTGGACTGGTTAGAACCTTGAAATACCTGCATAATTAATTCATAGGGTAAGGTAGCCCCACGGGAAGGCTGGAGTATAAGAACCACTGATAAGACATGCACAAACACTAACTCCAGAATATGGAAGATGCTTACTCTTTGGTATTTTTTTTAACAAATTTTATGTATAAGTCTCTCTTTTGCTTTTTTTTTTTTTTAATCTCAAAGGTCAAAGGCAGAAATAAGAGAGGAAGAGAGGGAAGGAGAGGGAGGTTTACTCCCTAGTTGGCCGCAGTGGCCAGAGCTGGACTGATCCAAAGCCAGGAGCCAGGAGCTTCATCTAGGTCTCCCACGTGGGTGGCAGGGGCCCAAGGACTTGGGCCATCTTCTGTGACCTTTCCCAGGCTGTTAGCAGGGAGCTGGAGCAGAAGTGGAACAGCTGTGACACAAACTGGCGCCCATATGGGATGCTAACACTGCAGGTGGCAGCTTACCCTTCTATGCCACAGCTCTGGCCTCTCTCCTGTATTCTTAGAAGATCCTGAAATCACTGGGTCAGTAAGTTGTGGGCCTAGGAGCCCATCACATCCTTATCAGCCATTCCGTAGCTCTGCCTCCTCAGGGAAGTGACTTAGCCACTATGAACCTGAGTCTTTTCATTCATTAAATGTATCTTTAATTAATTCCTATCTCAGGGCATTACTGGAAAGTTGAATTGTCAAGTGGATAATGTTTGTACTGATCTCAGATTATTACTGTTCCCTATATATTAATAGAGGCATGAACCTGCCACAGAGACTGGAATATCCATGCTACTTATCCGAGCACCCTTTCCCCAAAATATGGCCGGAGAAAATCTGAATTATCCTAATACCACAACAAGATACAATTCTTGGCCTTGCAAATTCTTTTTGTTGCATGTCCTTTAGGCCCTCTGCTTCCTGGTGGCTTGTCAGTTTCCTGGGAGGCCTTCTCGGGGTCTTTCTGGAGGATGTTTTCTCCATGGAACATTCCTGTGGGGAAGCCACTCTCTTCTCTGAGATGAGGATTCTTCTTTTGGCACTTATAAACTCATCTACAGTGGACGCTCATATTATTTTAGGTACCTGGGGCTGTCTCCCCTTTGAATACAGTACAATTTCCTTGTCTCCATGGGTATTAAGAGATGACAGCAAACTGTTACCCTAAATATCAAAAATCTGACTCTGGAATGGGTTTGGAGGCAGATCCCAAAGATGACTAAAGGCTTAGGAAAAAAAAAAAGAAAATCCAATATATATATATATTAAAATATATATAAAATTATATATATATAATATACATTATATATATATTTAAAAAACCCTGAAAATACCAAATGCTTCATCTCACAAAGACAAGAAACCAGCCATTCCTCACGGAAGACTAGAACTAGAAAAAAAGAAAAGAAACTGTGCTACAGAATAAAATATTAATAAAAAAGTCTCACAATCTTGTTAATTGTGTATGTGAGGTAAAATAGGATGTTGCCTACTCTCCTCTTTGGGAAACTTAAAAGATGCCGTGTGGACGTGTCCATTAGGCACACTGCAGTGCAGTCCTCGATGTATCCTTGCCCGCGGGCTAACAGATGGATCGAGTGGCCTCTCAGCATGCCTTCTGGACCCACATTTGTGCTCGTCCATGACTGTTGGGCTGACATGTTAGCCGACTCCGGTTTGCCCTTGCCAATTAGTGGAGGAGTCAGCTGCTTGAAAGAAAAGAGGTAGACCAGCTGTCCCCTAAAGAAAAGTCAACCCTGTTCCAAGTTCAATTATACCAGTGGAAGTTTTATTTCTTTGAGTCATGAAGTATTTTTGATCGTGTAGAGTTCTCTAGCAGAATGCAGACACTGACATTTCAATGAAGATAAAATAACTAAACCTTATCAGATAAGGGCTTAGCATGCATCATGGCCCTGTAGCACAACCATGAGCAGAGATGCAAGCAGAGGGAGACCCAAAGCCAACAGAGGAAGACAGAGAGACTGCAGAAATTGTGTCTAAATAAAAATGCTGCCCTAAGCTCCTGCAGAATATAAAGTGCTCCTGTCTTCCATCTTTCAGGCATTCTTTGAGGAAAGCAGGGCTACTACAAGGTGCAGAACACTGAACAAGGCACTGGGGGTACCACAGTGCAGGAAACAGAAGCGGCTCTTGCTTTTCTGTAGGAATGAACATGTGGTGAAATACCACACGGCAACGAGTCTACATTCATGCAACAGAAACAGATAGTGATTGAGTTACTAAAATGCCCTAAGCACTATTTTAGACACTTATAATGGGTAGTAAGCAAATGGGCAAACCCTTTGCCTTCATAGAGTTTATATTCAGGTAACAGGGAGTTTTGTCATAAATGAAGCACAATGAGCTCTGAAAACTATGACAGGGAGACCTGCCCAATCCTTGAAAGGGGATGTTTCTATTGACATATGAAGGCTGAGTAGGACAGGCATGGGTTGGGGAAGGAAGGAGGAGGCACTTGGAGATTGTTCCACTTAAAGTTACCAAAAGCTGCTAAACAACCACAATTCGCTTGTGTGGTAGGATGAAAGGTAACATATCTTTCTCTTTCTTATACTTATTCAAATATTTGCACAATAAATAATTTTAAAACAGTATCAGAGCTATATTTAAAACTATTTTTTTCTCCTTTTTATCATGTGGCTTTAATGTATTGGTCTTCAAAGTCTTACTTTTAAATTATGATTAGATTATACATGATATAATAAAATTCAGATACCAAATTCAAGATGAAAGAATTCAACCTTGATGATGGAACTGCCGAGTCTAACCCAAAATGTGTTTGGTGTTACTGTATGCAAACAAGATGTGTTTGACATTGTGACATGGATTTTTCCCCACCTACATTGAATGTGAATTATAGGTTGGTTCCTGCACTACAGGTGGACCTGTGGCAGCCCAGCAGTATCTCCCATGTATCAGAGGGAACAGTTACCGATGTCCACGTTCTCCAAAATGCTTCCCAAGCCTTGTTAGCCTTCTTTCATGAAGCCAACATCCAGTACGAGTAAGCATTCCTTTTCACTGGCTTTAAAATTCATTTGTACCAAATTGAAGTTAATGATGGCTGTATTCAGGTTATTTATCAAGTACTTCAAACCGTGTTGCAAGTAGAGTTTTTCTTATTAGGAAAACAGACATGACTATATTCCCCCTTGATGAGCTTATTGGTAGAATGGTAGATGGAAGCAACCTCATCTATGTGTCATTTCAGTGTTACCACTGAGTAATCAGTGTCAACACAAACTTTTTCTAGGAAGAAAGGAGAGCAACCTAGCAAGACCTGGAGAGTGCATGAGAAGGTAGGGGCGGAAAAGGGTTCCTGCAGGAACCGTGTCGGCCAGACAACAGATGAGACCTGAGACCTGGCAGGCAGAGGGGCTAATACAAGGAAAAGGAAGAAGCAGTATTATAGTTCAAGGTTATTAGGGTGCAAAGTGCAAGCCAGAGAACAGAAAGAAAAACAGTAGAGAGGCAGGGATAGGAGCTCAGACCTTATCTTGTGGATGGAGTTACCCACGGGAAGACATAAGGAAAGCAGCTGCCTATCAGTGGGGAAAAGAGGCCACAGGAGTCTACAGTAATAGTCCAGGTGAGAAGGGAGTGAGGCCCTGAGTTTGGACCAGTGTAATGGGATCCAAAGAGCATTCCAAAAATATTTGCAGGAGTAAAACCATCTGAATACTCCAGGTGGTTGGATGGTAGATAGAAAAGAAATAAATCAAAGAATAATGCCAATTTTTTCCAGTTTGAGTGACTGAGTAGACATGTTTGAACAGATGTCGATATTTTCAGGTCTGGATTTTTTGGGAACTTGCTAGAGCAGTAAGAAGACAGCAAGTGGAAGATAGTCACAGAGGTCAGAGAAGAAATGGCAAACATTAGAGACAGGGAATACACCACAGCTCCAGGTGCTGCGGTGACATCTAGCAAGGAAAGGAAGGCGCCTTTGGTTTTGGCAATGGAAACCACATTGCTAGTGCTACTGGCAGGACTGGATTGTTAGGAGTAGAAGACAGAGAGATTAACAGGAGGTGAGATTAACTGGAGTTGTTCTTAGCTGTTGAAATGAGGTGAGAAGCAGAGGTTGAGAAATGACTGCAATGAATGGGATGTAGCATTGCTGCCTGCCTGGGAAATTGGGAGCTTCTGTGTGTAGGGGGAAATTTTTGGCATGTCACAGAGGACGCACAGGTGGAGCTGTTATTTGAACAGTAGGAAGCATATCTCATCCTTGAAGAAGAGGTAAATATGGTCTCCTTAAAACTGTAGAGAAGAGTTGACATTTAAAAGGATTAGAAGGTTTTTTAAAGATTTATTTAGTATGTATTTATTTACTTAAAACGTAGAATGATGGGAAGTGGCGAGGCAGAGAAGGATATCCTCCATTTGCTGCTTCACTCCCAGAAGACTACAATAGCCAGGGCTGGGCCAAGGTGAAGCCAGGAGCCAGGAACTCCATCCTGGTCTGCCAGGAGCCAGGAACTCCATCCTGGTCTCCCATATGGGTGACAGGGACACAAGCACTTGGGCCATTATCTGCTGTCTCCCCAGACACGTTATCTGGGATCTGGACCAGAAGCATAAGAGCTGGGACTCAAACCAGCCCTCCAATATAGGATGCTAGCATCACAAAGATATAGGATATATCCTATATCACAATATAGGATGCAGCACCACAATGCTGGCCCCTAGAGTTGATTTTCCAGGTGGCCAACTGGAGGCTCCCAGTGTTCATCTACTCCTCCACAGAGAAGAAGCAACCCAACAAATAAATTATCAGCTGCACTTAGAGGTGAGTGCCTCAGGTAGAACATCTGAATTCCATTGCCTGGGCCACGCTAGAAACAAGAGAGCCTCTGCAGAACCCATCTTCATGGACACCTTAAGCTGGCAATCTCTGCTACAGGAGGGATCACAGTCAGCACAGGCTTGGACACAGTAAGGGAAGCTTCCTGGAGTACGTACACAAGCTGTGCTCAAGATCTTACATTATTTCTCCCCCCAACACCCACTGCAGAGTGCAGGCTGCACCAGTAGTAGGCCTACATCGTGGAAGGAGTCACTGTTGGAACCCAGACTTCCCTAGGGGACAGAAGCCCTCCATATCCCTATCCTTGGGGCCTCACAAACATTCCTCCATACTAACAAAAAGGGCTGCAACCATGTGAACCCAACTAGACTTAGCAGAGTAAGTATGACCTCACCACCCAAGGTCCTTGCAGGACGCTGTGTGATAAGGAGAGGGGGTGCACAACAGCAAGCAGATTCTGTCTCTAGGACCCTCAGGATGGGGCTCACCACCCCTTACTGCCTTCCCTCTCCCTACCACACAAGGCAATGCTCACCACCAATGGAATTTGTGCACAATGAGATTGATAGCTAGGGCTCCTTCAACCTCAGCTCCATTCCCAGGGGTCACCCCCTTTCTGTGAGGCCCCACAAGGATTGTCAGTGATATCCTCAGTACCCTGGCTCCAGGGACCACTGCTGAGACTACGCTCCCTGCCAAAATTTCCTGCCAGTGGTTTTACTGTGATCCCAGCCTCACCCCTGCAGGACACTACAGGATCCGTCTACCAATCACCATCACTTCAGGCCACTGCTGGAACACACACCACCCCACTGGGATCATAGGCCAGTGCTCCCATCATCCGAGCCCTATGGGTCTCTTCTGACTCTGCCCTGCTTGAACTGCCTGCCTGTGTCCCCAGCTCTGCCCCCCTCAGGCCACTACAGGAATCACAGACCACACCAGGACTGCTGGTAGGCTCTCCCTACAGCCTCACTGCTGCTGCCATAAATTACAGTGGAAGAAGTACAGGGAGACTACAGTATGACATGCCCTTAGAAGTAGTGCCAGAGTAGCCTAACCAACTAACATTCAAAGATATATCTTCAGGAAAATAGCTTTTATCACAAAACCACCTTTAAACACAATAGAGTTTAACTGATCAACCAGATAAATGTCCAAATAGTAGCAAAGGAGCACAAGAAATATGAAAAATAAAGGCAATCTAAAGCCCTCAAAGGCCTGCAATAATGCTTTAGTAGCACACTCCAAAGAAAAGTAAATGGATAAAATGCCTGATAAATGATTCAAAACAATGATTTTAAGGATACTCAAAGACATGCAAGAAAATCAGCCAGATAAATGAAATTTATGGAGGAAAATGCATGCTATACAGGAGAAATTAAATAAAGATGGAGAGATATTGGAAAAAAAAACAGAAATCTTGGAAATTAAGAACTCAATTATGTTTGACTTTTAAACTATTAATTAATAATAATTGAGATGGTAACAGATAGGCTGCAGATATTTACAGAAAATTTTACTCAATAGTTGCAAAATACACATTATTTTCAGCAAATGGAAAATTATCTAGAATAGACCATATATAAGCTACAAAACAAGTGTCAACAAATTCCAAAAATTTGAATCACAACAAAATAAAATTAGAAATAACAACAAAAGAAACTCTAAAAATTATAAAAATACATGGAGATTCAGTGTCCTGCTTCTGGGTGAACAATGAGGCACTGAATAGTCAAAAGAAAAACTTGAAAATTCCTTGAAACAAATGAAGATGAAAACATACCATACTAAAATGTATTAAATACAGTCAAAGCAGAAGTTGATAGCAATAAATTCCAACTAAAAAAGAGATGTCTCAAATAACCAACCTAACAATAAATGTCAAAGACCTAGAAAGGCAAGAACAAACCAAACTCAATATTAGTAGAAAGAAATAACAAAGAGCAGAGCAGAAATAAATGAAATAATAGGCTTCAAAAAATATAAAACATAAGTGAAATGAAGTTGGTTATTTTGAAAAGATGAATGAAATCAACAAACCTTAAGTTAGACTAAACAGGAAACAGAGAAGACTTAAATAAATAAAATCAGAGATTAAAAAGGAGTTATTACTACTGATATCACAGAAACACAATAAATACTTACAAACTATAATGAGTAGCTATACACCAACAAATTTGAAAACCAAAAAGAAATGGATGAATTTCCAAGTGTATATAACTTACCAAAATCAGATCATGAATGCATAGAACCTGAACAAATCAACAATGAGACTTAATCAATAGTCAAGACTATCAACAAATAAAAACCCAGGACAAGATGGCTTCACGGCCGGCACCTCGGCTCACTAGGCTAATCCTCCACCTGCAATGCCTGCACCCTGGGTTCTAGTCCCAGTCGGGGCACCAGATTCTGTCTCGGTTGCTCCTCTTCCAGTCCAGCTCTCTGCTGTGGCCCGGGAGTGCAGTGGAGGATGGCCCAAGTGCTTGGGCCCTGCACCTGCATAGGAGACCAGGAGAAGCACCTGGCTCCTGGCTTCAGATCGGCACAGCGCGCCGGCCGCAACACACCAGTCATAGCGGCCACTTGAGGCATGAACCAACAGCAAAGGAAGACCTTTCTCTCTGTCTCTCTCTCTCTCACTGTCTAACTCTGCCTGTCCAAAAAAAAAAAAAAAAAATGGCTTCACTGCTAAATTTTAACAATAAATTCTTCTCAAAGTATTCCAAAAAATGAAAAGGGATAGAACCCTCCCAAACAGGTTCTTTGAGACCAGTATTACCCTAATACCAAAACAGGAAAAAGACACAACAAAAATAAAAAGAGAACCATAGTTTAATCTCTGTGCTGAACATAGAAACAATAATTTTCAAAAAAATTACTAGCAAATGAAATCCAATGGCACATTACAAAGATCATTCACCATGCTCAGTTGAGATCTATACCAAAGATGCAAGTATAACTCAACAAACTCAGTTTAATAAATAATACTATTAACAGAATGAAGGATAAATCATAAGATCATCTTAATAGATGCAGAAAAATCACTCTATAAAATTCAATATCCATTCATGATTAAAATCCTGAACAAATTAGGAAGAGAAGAATCATATTTGAACATAATAAAAGCTATATATGACAAAACACAACCATCATCATGGTGAATAAGAAAAAGTTGAAAGCAGTTTCTC